TCTTCCTCAATGCTTCAGCCGTATATAGACCCACAGCGTGTAGCTCAGACCACGCTTCAATATTGAGCATAAATCAAAAATGTCTATGTCAAGCTCACTGCAACACACTGCTGTAAGAGAATAACCAGGAAGCGAGGTAGGAGGGCAAAATCGGTTTAGCGCCACCGCAGCACGGGAGGGAGAATTACGTCCAGGAGCAAATGGATAAAAATAGACCGGAGGAAAAAAAAACATGAATCGATACTCTTGCAGATGTATCCATGCATCAGATTGTCGGCTATTGGATCGATGCATCGATTCAAAACGATTATTATTTACACCCCTACTGTCAAAAATAAAACCCTAGCACTCCTATAAAGAAGGAGGAGAAAGTTTATGCTAACGGCAGCATCATTTCTAACACTAACAGATGTTTTTACAGCTAAAATTCACTTTGATCACGTTGACAAACCTGTGGGGCGTAACCTTCATTTTTTCTCCTCCAAAGCAAAGCTGAAACTGATGGTGGAGGAACAGAAACTTCTCATGTTGGTAAAGGGAAATTCAGAAAGCAAAGGTGCATAACTAAGTGTTAAATGCTGGATCTGCAAAATAACAGGAAATGATTTCTAAATCTTGTGGCATCTGTGATGACGATTAGCCAACATTTCCTCTAACTTTTCTTTGGTTTTCATCCTGGGTTACTTTATAAAAATCAGATGAATAAAACATGTAATACATATATTTCCAATGTACAGAGATGTATAACTAATTTATAGGCAGGGAGTATGTCGCTCTGATACGCTGTCGGTATATGTTTGAGTAAAGTGGACATTAGCTGTGGTAAAGCTCTTTGTTTTTAGTGGAATCCAGCATTCAGTACTGGAGAGATTTTATGCTGCAAACATCTTTTAAACGAGAGTTCTGGTTTCCCTTAAAGACAAGTTAAGACCAAAGTTTTAACTTTGCTCGTGCTATAAGGTAAAATCTTTCTCCTCTACATAACTACTTGCTATCATGTCCGTTTCAATCATATTAACTTCATTCTGAATCTTTAAGGCAGAGGTCTTCAACGGGGGTCCGCGACCCCTAGGGGTCAACGGAGGTACTGCATGGGTTTGCGAAAGTTTTGGCTAATTAGACTTTTGTTTTCTATTCCCTCCTGCAATTTTTTCCACTAATTGAAATGTCTTTAAATCCACATTAACATGAATTCAACACATTGATGTCTTTCAGTCATCAATCCACACATTCAGCGACACACAGGAGCTCTTTCAACCAGGGCACCGTTTCATTCACAATACCTGTGCCATCAACCAGGTACGGAAGAGGATTAGGGCCACTGGAAAAAAAAAAAAAAAAGTCAGAATTCTGAGAAAAAAGTCAGAATTCTGACTATTTTCCCATACTAAACCGAAATAAAATTTAAAAATCAGTTAACTTTTTTTTTTTTTTTTCACTGGCCCTAATCCTCTTCCGTAACCAGGAATCAGAATCAGAAATACTTTAATAATCCCAGGGAGAAATTACTTTTACTACATTACTCCATCTGTAATAGAGTGACTATAGGATCAGTTGGATATAACACAATGTCATACAATATATATAATAAATAGGGGGTCCCCGCTCCATCTCGCCATCAGTTTGGGGTCCCTAGCCTGGAAAACTTTGAAGACCACTGATTTAAGGTGTAAATAATCCAGACCAAACTCTGGATTGATTGTTGTTTCTGCTGTTTTATTTCTCTGACCTGGCATTTCTTCTCAGTCAGGCTCCACTTAAGAATGAACAGCTCCCTCGTGTGGACAGTGGTAACATTACAGCCCTAAAAAATTCCTTTTGCACACATTAATTGGATGGAACTAGTTTTAATCGTATAAACCATTAATCAAAACTAATCCCAAATTGTTTACATCCCTACTGGGATTTCATCTCGCTGTTCATTTTATAGGTTTTCATTCCAGTTTCCTTTATTTGTCTGCAGTATAAGAATGTGTTTTTAATCAGACTAATTATTATTTTTATTTTATCCATTTAATCTTTAATTTCTACATGTTTTCTCAGATTTGTTCAACCTGCCATCAGACGGGTGCAATAATGGGTTGTTTTCTGAAGGGCTGCCTGAGAAATTATCACTACACATGTGCTATTCAGTCAGGTAAAACACCTGATATATTATCATCATTAAATCGTTGTTCCTTTACTGCTCTGCTAACATGTTGGTTCATGGTGTGTTTCTCAGGCTGCATCCTAAATGAGGAGAACTTCTCAATGAGATGTCCGGAACATAAGGTAAACAGAATTTGCTAGAACAGGACACAGTAATACAGTAAAGCTTTATAAAGCATTTATTTAAATGTCAGACCACCGCTTTGTTAAAAAAATGGTTTATATAATATTTTTTTTTATTTTCTTTGTGAAACAGAACAAAACTTTCCCACCTGCTGCCAGACAAGACAAGACATGACACTAAAGACATGCGGGGGCCTTGGAGGTTTGCTCCTTCTCTCTTTTTAAGGCTTTATTAGCTAAAATCGGAAAATTGTAGGAACTGCTTATTTTTTATTTCAAAGTAGCTAAATCTAGCTAAACTAAATGAGGTGTTTGCTGAAACCTAATAAAAAAAAATAGATCAGGTAAAGCAAAAAGATAAATCTTAGTTGTTAGCAATTTTCATGTCAGTGCTTCTGGTATGGAGTTATTTTTTTTATGTTTTTATTAAATGTAAGAAACAAGGTGAAATAAAAGATAAATTGACATTTGGAAAAATAATTTCCAGGTTATTAAAGCTCCCCCAAAATTTGTTTTTACTCTCCAATATTGTTTCTTTTTATTTTTTCAAGGAGAGTGAAAACATTTTCACTCAAAAATAAAATATCTCTCAAAAGTCTTTGCTCTTGATTCAGGATTTTTCCCTCGATGCTGAAAATGTGTCATGGTTGAGTCTGTGTTCCTATTGGTCAGAGTCAAGTTGACAGCTCTGGGTTGCCAAAAAAAAAAAAAAAGATTTGAGGGTGAAATTATACTTTTTGTATCTTTATCCCCTTTGAAATAATTTTCCGAATGTCAATTTATCCATCCATCCATCCTGTTTTCCTCACGCTTATCCGGAGTGGGGTCACGAGGGGTGCTGGCGCCTATCTCCACCTGTCCACGGGCGAGAGGCGGGGTCCATCCTGGACAGGTAACCAGTCCATCGCAGGGCAACACAGAGACAAACAGGACAGAAATCTCCCAGAATTAGAAATGAAGGAGAATTTAGAGAAGCCGAATAACCTAAGAGTCATGTTTTTGGACTGTTGGAGGAAGCCGGAGTACCCAGAGAGAACCCACACATTCACAGGGAGAACATGCAAACTCCATGCAGAAAGGCAAGGAATTCAACACAAAACCATCTTGCTGCAAGGCAGCCGTGCTACCCACTGTACCACTAGGCAGCACTTTTCATTTAATGAATAAATGTATCTTTTATTCATTAAATGAAACATATTTTCTCTCACGGTTTCTTCAGTCTCAATTAAAATTAGTTCTTGCTTCTTTCTAATATATTTATTTTACTTTTAAAATTATTTTCATCCTTTCAGGTCGCCTTTTTTCTTAAATATTATAAAAACAAAAATAACTTGATATTTTGGTTGCTTTTTAAAATCTCGGCTTCAACTAAAGATGTCCAGCGATTATGGCTGCAGTTCCTTATGCAGGCACAAGGGGGCAGCATCAGATTCTTGATCAGAGAACTTATCAAGAGGCTGTTATTGTAAGACTTCAGTTAAAAAAAAAAGCTCATTAAGAGGTGAAACATTTGCTGGATCAGTAATCTAATGACATAATTTTTATTTATTATAATTTTTTTTTACAAACAGCATTTCACTGATAGGCAGCAGTTTATCTTTACTGTAAACTGTACATGTAATCATAACCTCTATGACTCTCTGAGGCATGCTGGGTCAAATCATGGTCCAATCGGCCCAATAGAGCCCAATCAAAAACAAATTTTAATTTAAACTCTTAATGGCAAATTACTCCAATTAATCATAGTTCTATAGAACCCTGCTCTGACTGGCCAGCAGAGGGCGCCACATAACACAGAAAGGAATTGAAAGAATTATATTTAAAATAATATATATATATATATAAACTTGTTTTGCTTCCTTCATGGATGTTGTCTCATTTCTGCAGAAATCTTTTTACAGAGACTGTTAGATACAGTAGCTCCTTACAGGAGATTTTCAGGTGCTGCTTTCCTGTGTTGGAACCAACCCTGATAAAGTCGCTCCTTATGCACTAATCCAGACATCCTACCTTAGAAACATGAGTTATGCTGTAAGTTTCCCTGACCTGCTTGTTTTTTCTGTTCTTCTATCCTCCCTTCCAGAACGCTCCACTGATCTCCTCAGGGTGTGACTACAGCTGCGCGGCTTCACCTTTTCACACTTTTCTAATTCTAATGAACTCGAGCAGAATTTCGGATGGAGGCCGGACCTTTCAGTAAGGCTTCCCGGCTTCACTTGTCACGACTGATTCAGGGTCCACTTAATTTATTTTCACGTATTCCCCCTTTTGTTTTCTTCCCTTCGTGTTCTTTAATGTTTCGCACACTCACTCACATTGACTACAGGTGTTTGCATTTGTTCCTTTTCTTGGAGATTCTTCCTTCGACTAGCTGCTAACAACTACATTTTAATAACTGAACATAGATGTTATATCAGAGTTTTATCGACCTCTTGCATAGAACACGTCTCATGCAAGAGGCCACTTTTCTACAAGTTTTTTGTACAACTTTTTTATTCCTTTTAATGCTTTGGTTGTATGTATTTCCCTTCTGGTTGCATGCGCAGCTGACCTTTGCTGCATTGCACTTTATACTATAGTTTTCTATTAGTTATTTAAACCTGTTCCTTCTTTTTCTACTAAAATTATTTAAATCTGATATAAAGCTGCACTAAGCTACAGTTAATCTGTAAAATTATTTAGAGTTAATGTCTGAATATAGAAAATCCTTCTGTCCTTGTTTACTAATACCTTAAAGGAGAATTCCGGTTTTTAACACTTTTAGCCCATTTTCTGTAGTGTCCAGGATGAAATCGAATGATCGACACCAAAATTTTGACAATTGCTCCTGTCTCTGCTATTTGGCTCATGCAGAATCCCCCCCTGGCTGCTTTAGAATGGCTTCCATAGTGCATGTCAGATAATGTCCTTAAAACAACCTTAAACGTTCTTTTTTTAAAATATGCTACTCACCGGGTCGTCAGCGCTGTTCAATGACGTCCCAAAAAAAGTTTCGTAAAGAAAAAACGTTCCTGTAGTGTTTTATTTAGCATTTTGTAAATCCCATTGAGTTCTGTTGCAATAGTCAATATCCCTCCGCCACCGGAAACGGAAAGGGGGCCTGTTTACGCTTAGTTGTAGTCTTTTCGCAAGGCCCAAGTGTTTATGCTTCACTCTGTGTACTCCGACGTCGAGGTGCTAACGTCTCTGTTAAACACTTGAAAAAACTCTGAAAATGGAATACGAAAGGTGGATTCTTGAGGAGGACATATTGGACTTTGAGTTTGACGGTAGAGGATACCGTCGCCAACTAGTGGTCTGGAGTGTGCAACGCTTCAGATTCGAACGGGAAGCGGAAGTTTATAAGCGGTTGTGATGTATCGGAAAAAATAGTTCTGGGATTTACAAAATGCTAAATAAAACAAGACAGGAACGGTTTTTCTTCACGAAACTTTTTTTGGAACGTCATTGAACAGCGCTGACGACCCGGTCAGTAGCATATTTTAAAAAAATAACGTTTAAGGTTGTTTTAAGAACATTATCGGACATGCTCTATGGAAGCCATTCTGAAGCAGCCAGGGGGGGATTCTGCTTGAGCCAAAAAGCAGAGACAGGAGCAATTGTCAAAATTTTGGTGTCGATCATTCGATTTGATCCTGGACACTACAGAAAATGGGCTAAAAGTGTTAAAAAACGGAATTATCCTTTAAGTTCATTCGGGCATAAAATGTTTATTTAGGTTGATTTTCCGCTCACTGGATGTGGAAACTTGATGGCAAGCGGCTCTTTAAGTGTTTGGTGATTATTGAGGGAATGAAACTGGAAACTCAAACTAAACTTCTTTTATTATAAGGAGTTTTTTTTTTTTTTACTATTTTAAAACGAGCACAGCTTTACTGAAAGGTAGACACCGGCTTCTCAACCGGAATATGTTGGTGGTTTTCACTACGATTAAAGCTTTGAGCTCTAGGCTAATCCAAAATAGAAGCAATTATAATTTCTTTTTATAACGTTTTGGGTTTTCTTCATATGAATAATTTAAAACTCTTTGCAGGTTTGCTGTTTGTTTAAATAACTGAAAATGATGCCAGAATTATTTAAGTCCTGAAGAGAAGTTAAAAAAAAAATCTCAGTTATCTAATGATTCGCCTTATGAGCGGAAAAATTGTCACATATTAGTGACTTTTTTTTAGACGGATGTGATTTGGGATTAAATTAATTGAGAATTTTTAGCTTAATCTATTCAGAAATCTGTATTTGGCTCATCTGCTGAATATAACTGAATTTAAGGTGTAAACTTTGTTAAATTAATAAAATTTTAAGAGGTGAGTGAGCATGCTTTGTGTTGATGATAAACAGGAAATAAAGGGGGAGGGGTTTGTGTTGGGTGGGGTCAGTTTTTATGTATTTAATGAACCAGAAAATAATCTAATCAGACGTCAGAAAGATCAAAGCTGCCCCGTTGTTTTTCTGCATCACTATTTTAGAGTGAGATCAAATTTTTTCCAGGAAGGTTTGGTGAAGTAGGTAGCAGTAGTCAGTAGCTTACATTCAGTCTCGCTTCCTAATGTCAACGTTTTCAGCCAGTTTAGAATTTCAGTGTTGGACCAATAAAAGCTCATATTCTGAACACCCATTCAGTAAATATGAAGGATATTGAAAAGTTCATTTTTTTTCAGTGACTTTTTTACTATTAGAATATAACACCAGGAAAACATTAAAAAGATTTAAGAAATAAAGGGCATAATGAAACATTTTTAAAAACCCACTTAAAGGCTATTTCCAAAGGTAAAACAAGCCTCATTTGATCATGTATTTTAATTCAGGAAATGGTTCGCATGAAACTAAACCAGTAACTCCCAGCGGCTAAAGCTAACTGTAGAGGGACCACAGACTTATGTAAATAAGTTGCAGAATAAACAACATGACAAAAGTTTCCACATTCAATAAAATGACATTTACTGTTGTGCTGTTTTTCAGGTCAGAGTTTCAGAAGGTAGAAGTCTGTTTTGGTCTCACACTGCAAAAAACATCTAGAAATAAGTAAAAAAATGTCTTAAATTAAGTGTATTTACCCTTAATTTGCAGGTAAATAAGATGATTTGCCAATGGAATGAGTATTTTTACTCTTAAAATAATATATTTAGATAATATACACTTGAAATAAGACAAAGCAATTGTATTTTTCTTATTTTAAATGTAAATTGTCTTGTTCCATTGGCAAAGTGTCTCACTTACCTCCTCAATTCAAGAAAAAATGCACTTAATTTGAGCAAAATTTACTTATTTAGATTTCCATTTTTTGCAGTGCAGTCTTAAAATGAAACTGCTTGTGATTGGCTACTTTTCAAGAAATTCCGCCTCTTGAGACAGTATTGTTTTCCTCCTGGCTGCGGCTAGTAACCCTAGCAAAGCATCTTTATGCGAGTTTGCCCTGCAACCTGATGGTTGTCGGCTTTCAGTGTCGTTGTGTCCTTGGGCAAGACACGTCACCTGCATTGCCTACTGATGGTGGTCAAAGCGCCCAGTGGTGTCAGTGTTGGGCAGCCTTGCGTCTATCAGTGAGCCCCAGATCAGCTGTGGCTACAATGTAGTTTACCACCATCAGTTTGTGAGGGCCCTGTCACACCTTGCCGATTTGACCAGCTGGCATACGCTGAACTTTCTATGTATTTTTTCCAATTTTTGGCGTATACATAACGTATTTATAACAAGTCCAGATCTTATGTCCAACGACATCCTAACTGATGCATAACGCAGTTAAAGCTGCCCCCCTCAGGCGTCCGGGAGGCGCCCCATCTGCATAAAAATATGGCCTTGATCGCGGTATTAACCCAGCTGCTGTTCACGGCTCGTCCAAAAAAAAGAATAAAAAGAAAAAGAAACAAGGTTTGCAGTCGCAGCAGATTCAGCGTCTTTCTGCTAGGAAGTATGTTGGTCGTGGCCGATGGCGTGAACGCAGGGAGGATTAATCACACCCATCTTCTCACTCACCCTATGATGGGGATGAAGTCTGGAGTAGAACTGACGGTTTCCTCCTGCGAACCCCCTTTTATTTTATGCCAAAATGCTGCCAATACGCCATTAAACTGTAGCTGGAAGTTGGAAAGATGTCCAGCGATCATCTGGAACACGTCAGATACGTTGATATGCGTTGGAGAGAAGTTCTTGATAAGTTACGCATCAGTTTGGCAAGGTTTTGGATAAGCTAGACGCCACCACTTATGAGTAAGTTACACTTAACGTAACTTAATTTACACTTATGGTATGTCAACCATCATAACTTATCCAATGTATGGCAGCGTTTTTTGCCAGATTTGTTGTAGTCAGGCGTACTCTGGCTAAATCGTCAAAGTGTGACGGGGGCTTGAGTGAATGGGTGAAGTCTTCTGACTTGACCAAAGCGCCATTTAAGTACAGGCCTTTTAACTGCTGTTCTATTAAACAATTAAAAAGTGGTTGAATGATGTAATCTAGAAAAATTAACTTCCCAACCTTGTATGAGCTAAGCTAGCTTTAGCTTCATTGTTTATATTTAGGATACAATCAGTTCCAGCTGCTGTTAAGCATTTTTTTCCTTCTGTCTCCAGCATTTTTTTTCCAATAAACTTTTCAGTTGATCAAAGAGACGACAGTTCGACATAGAGGCGGAATATAACTCTTGAAGAAAAAACAGCAATTAGCCCAAAGAAGCTTTGCTAATGTTGCAAGCCGCGACTAAAAAGGAAACGGTGCTGCCTCAAGAGGTGGGATTTCCTGAAAAGTAGCCGATCACAGGTGGTGTACCTTTCTCTGGTTGCTTCCAACCTCCAAGTGAAAAGTTAACATTAGTGCACAGAAACAGATCCACACTGAATCTACAGGAGCATAAAAAGCAAGAGGGGCAGTGAAGGAGCATCGGGGAGCTCATGGTGTTCAATTTGCACAAATAAAATGTTTAAAGGAAAAGTCCGCAAATATTCAGGATTCAAACTTCTGAAAATACTTTAAATATGAAATTATTACAAACTGTTCAATAAATGATCAGTGTTTTTAATAAAGAGTAATTCTCATCTGAATGTGCTTTACTGGAGGCATCCATGTTTGTCAAAGAACACTACTGCCACCTACTGGTTTGTGACGTCACGGTGCGGTATCGGCTGTTGATCAAGTCCCAGTGCTGTATCTGGTGTTTGTCACAACGTGCTATTATCCAAGTCATCTTGAAAACATTCTTCTTCCAAATGTTGGCTACATATTACACTGGAAAAAAAAAAATTTAAATCTACATAAGTCATTTTTTCTTCAAATAAGTGCATTTTTTCTTGAATTTAGGGGGTAAGTGAGACACTTTGCCAATGGAATAAGACAATTTACATTTAAAATATGAAAAAAATATGTATTGTCTTATTTCAAGTGCATATTATCTAATCTTATTTTAAGAGTAAATTTCCTCATTCCATTGGCAGATCATCTTATTTACCTACTCAAATTAAGGGTAAATACATTTAATTTAAGACGTTTTGACTTATTTCTAGATCATTTTTGCAGTGTACGTGTTTTTTCTTTGGGCAGAAGTTCGATGGCAAATCCTCCCTCTTCAAGTTGGCGATCCAACGACCAACCCGTCCGTGGAGGATCAGGAATCAGAAAGGTGGAATAACTCTTTATTTCCCTTTTACCCGATGTATTCCAGCATCCAGCTGCCATGCACGTGGGCATTGTCAGTTTCACTATAGCTCTGGTGAATTTCAATGGTGAAGTCCTCTGG